ATTTTTAATGGAAAAAAAGTATAAAGATATTATCCTTATTTATATGTTTTCTCTTTATTCTTACATTTGTTTATTATATTCAAATAAATTAATGTTTTTAAGTATTAACTACAATATTTAAATCTTAAATTAATTTTAAAACCGAAATTTATTTACCAATGTATGTATCCAACTCTTGGAATTTAGTCAGGCTTAATTCAAAAAATCATCTACTAACTTTTAGTTTAATTTCAGTTTCATCTATTATCTTTGAATTGTTTCAATTTTATCTATTATTTTTCACATTTATTTCAATTTCATCTAAGTTAAAGTTAACAGAAAATCTTAAAGGAAATCTTCCTAACCTTAGTACTCTAACTATGTTTCTTTTAATCTTTTAATCTTTAAATTTATATTCACAGTAAAAATAGTTTTTATTCTTATTTTGCTAAATGTGTTTTTTAGAAAATTGTTTTACAGAGCAGACTGCATTCAGTCTACCCTATAAAATTATTTAAATACCCTTAATTCTATTTTTATATTATTTTTATAAACATTTAAATAATTTTATAGACAAATTGTACAGAATCTGTCTTATAAAACAGACTTATTTTTAAAATTTTTTATTTTAAACATACTGAATTTCTCTGTTTGAATTACAATCTATATCTATAAACTATTTTTTGATTCATCATATTTTATTAAGATTTAAGTGTCACTTTTTTAAAACTCAAAGGACTGCTCTTTCTTCAAATCTAACAGCAATCTAACATCATCTTTGTACGGTAAACTAATTTGAAATATTCTTCAAAGTTTCTAAACTATTTAAAAATGAAACAAACTTTGTAGATTAAAATAAAATTAAACTGAAAGTTAGTAAATGATTTTTTGAATTAAGCCAATTTAGTCATATGTCAAGAAAAGTTTAAAATCTTTAATTCGAAAGTCAAATTATACTCAAACGTACAGGTAGACTGTCCTCTACGGGTGGTTTTCAACACATAATGATTAATCTTTTGTTCTAAAGTGAGGCACAATTTCCATGAATGGAGACCAGATAATTTAATAGAATCTAAACGTACACTACCTTGATATATATTATTGTTTCCTTATATCAAATGAGTGGGCTGCATCTGCTGCCTTAGCCGGAATGTCAGTGCATCTACGTTTTTTGATTTTTTTTGTTAAGGATTCAAGTTGCCTATACAGTATTAATGTAATTATTCCTTCATTCCTTAATTTTTCACTAGTCAAAAAAAAAAAAAAAATGAGTGGGCTTAGAATAAAACATATATGGTAACTCTATTTTCACTTATTTTAAAGTTTTAACTTATGATTTTAAATTTGGAGTCTGAAACCT